TGCTGCGGCTGGTACGGTGGTGCTGCTGGTACGGTGGTGCTGCTGGTACGTACCGTTCTTGGCCTTGCAGGAGCGGTTGTCAGGCTGAGGCAGGTAACCCTCCACGCAGGAACAGGAGTAGGAGCCGTCGGTGTTCGTACAGGTCTGACTGCAGGTGCCGTACACGGTGCACTCATTGAAGTCTGCTCCACAGAAACAATAGTCGTGGATTAGTTAATCAGAATGTCGTTAAAAAATACATTTCTTTGTCAGGGTCAGTGTATCGTACACCTAAACATTCAGATTCCTCCGGCTGTTGCTATGGTTGCATTTGAATTCTTCCTTCAAGGTGAAGATGAAGATGAAGATGAAGATCAATGTCCTGTTCAATATGTACTGTATATAAATGATGACCACTACACTATAATGCTGAGGTCTTCAACGGGGTCGGTGACCTCTGTGTGGTCACTGTAGGGGTCATCAGGTCGGTGGTTGGTGAGATACTTTCCTTATACAGAGACAGGAGCTTTGATTGTATATTTCATATACGTATATATGTGTTTATATATATATTTTTTTCAATTCATCTTTGATAAATAAACAGCAACCTATCCCACTCTTCCCACCACAGAAATGAAGTTTATATTCCATAAAGAACATATTTCTGTCTTCATGAAACTATTACGAGAACGTGGCTTCACCTCTGTTTCTATGGCAACAGAGATAAGACCAACAGCAGGCTACAAAAACTATAGGACTGTCGCGTTCTGATTGGACGTTCATAAGAAAAGAGTGGGTTTGATTTAAAAAAAGAAAAAAACAAAACCCACTACATAAAGACATGAGAAGGAAAAACAGAAGTCGTTCACCAGGTTTTTATACAGAAACCAGAGTGAAGAGAACTCTCCACCGACTCGGAGCAGTTCCTCATTCTGCCAGTTAAATCCTCTCCTTATCTTTGCTCTTGATCCAGATCATCCACATCACTGCTGTCTCTCTCTTCTTCTTCTCCTTTCTTTTTTTTTTTTTGGCGGCTGAAATACATCCCCTCATAAAACTTCATCCCACGGCAGTTTACTTTTGTGAGTTTGAGTACTCAGAGACACAGATGGGAATATAGTTGGAAAAAAACCCAAACATAAAGTGATTTATTTTGTCTTCTCTTTCAAAAATGTGGAGTTTAAACCTTGAAAATATTTATGCTAAAAAGTCAGTGTAAAAAAGTGAAATGTTTTGTATAATATCGGCTCAATTTTTGTTGTCCTGAAGTGCAAATCTTCACGCGGCTGCGTTCGGTTCGTGTTTGAAGAACAGAGGTCAGTCAGGCGTGGACAGGACTCACCTTTACACTTTGTTCCATCCGGACCGATCTCATAGCCGCTCTTACAGTAGCACACGGCGCCTCCTGGTGTCACTGCGCAGCTTTCCTGACAAGCCATGTGCGAGCAGTTGGACAGGAGTTCTGGAAACAGACACAGGAAGTGGACAAAAAAAAAAATAAGAATGGACGTAGAGACCAGGAGGAGGAGTTCTTTAAACCCAGAACTCTTCCCTGGTAACGGCACCAAAACACACAAAGAGATCCGTGTCTGTGTTACAGTGGCTGGCCAGCAGGTTGTAGTGATAGTGTGTTTGAAGTACTTGACTGAAGTATCGGTCCCTGCCCTGGACAGTTCACCTTTTCGTCACATTCACTGGCTGTGGTCGATTTGGGTGATGGGTATTTAATAAAGGTTCACCCAGGTGTAATCTGTGAAAAGGTCCAGAAAACCCTGCCCTTTAAAATGAACTGACAGAAATATGATTTATTTATTATTTTAGTCAAAGGTTACGTTCAGCCCGCTCCACTTTTCCTTTTTTTTTTTTGACCACACTCTGTCAGTGAGCTCCTCTGAATGACAGGCGAGTCTCTTCAAATGCATGGATTCAATTGGTTGATTAACGTTGTATAGAACAGGGGTGACAAATATACGGCCCGCGGGCCAAAACCAGCCAGCTAGGGTGTCCAATCCGGGCAAGTTGATGAATTTTGAAAACAAAAAAAACAAAAAAAAAATTTTACAAAAAAGATATTTTTTTGTAAATTTTTACATCTTTAAAATATGAATAAATAATAATAAATATCTAATATACGCGTACTTGTTTGTGTGTAAACAAAGAGGAAAAACATGGATTTGTTATTTATAGTTAATTATGTTGTGACTGTACTGGTCCGGCCCACTTGACATCTGTTAAAAAATCGAACAAACCTCAAAATCTCATCACGTCTGGGCTCACATTCAAGCCACGCCCCACAGATTAGTGACCTCTGATTTAGAGTTACCAACCTACCAATCTTAAAAACAAAACCATGCAAAACAAAACATGTTTAAGAAAGAAAAGAAAAACTTTCACTGTCGCTATTTCTTTATCTGACATTCATGCACCAACCACCTGACCCGCTGTTGTTTTTTGTTTGTTTTTTTCATCAAATCTCACTGAGATACAAATCAAAGACACAGTGAGTCATAGTCAAAATACACAGCGATTTAAAAGTAGGCCGAGAGCCATCACTGAGAAAATGATTCACTTAACCCAGAAACACTGATGGTTTACACCAACACGGCGTCTCGGGGGAGATCGACGGATAAAACCGACAAATCCGACAAATCCGACCAACCTTTAACTAAATCACATTAAAGTGATGCTAACTAAACAAAATAAAAAGACAAATAATGAACAGATAGGTGACATTAAAAATAAAAGCAGACAGTGAGTACACACACACACACACACACACACACCCGAGGCCTGCTGGGACGACCACAGTTCAAATTACAGACGTGCCAGGAATTTTCCAAAACAAGTCGGACGACCAAACAACTCACAAGTGTTTAGAGAAGAGACATGGGCAGAAATGTAAACAACCCATCATCTCACACACACACACACACACACACACACACACACACAGACCTTTATATAATTCATGGTGCAGCCCATGTCGCAGTGTAAAAAGTTCTGTAATGATTCAGAATGGACGATCCCTGACACGTGGACACGCGCTCCCTCGCACACACACTTCTGACCTCAGACGTAAGGCAGGCTGAGAGTGAGCGCTGCATGAACATTTAATGATCTTTCTTTCAAAGGGAGGCCTCACTGTTTTTTCTTTAATACATTTTTCATCACAGCTCAGTTCATGACTGCCAGTGCAGAGAGGAGAGAGAAAAACAACACATTTGGACAGCGCCACCTGTCACCGCAGCAACACACTCACTTTCATCTGAAGCTTTGCTTCTATTCTAAACCAAGTTACAGAAAATAGAAACATTTAAATGTGTACAGTAGGTCGTGTTAGTATTTCACCCAAGTTACGGAAAATAGAAACATTTAAATCTGTACAGTAGGTCGTGTTAGTATTTCACACACAAGTCAAATTTAACTCTGGGCAGATCAATCATTTTTGACCAATCACAGGGCAGATCAGTAATTTTTGCCCAATCACAGGTCGGATTAGTAATCTTTGACCAAAAACAGGTCAGATCAGTAATTTTTGACCAATCACAAGGCAGACCAGTAGTCATTGACCAATCACAGGGCAGATCAGTGATCTTTGACCAATCACAGGGCAGATCATTAATTTTTGCCCAATCACAGGTCGGATTAGTAATCTTTGACCAAAAACAGGTCAGATCAGTGATCTTTGACCAATCAGAGGGCAGCTCAGTGATCTTAGACCAATCACAGGGCAGCAGATCAGTAGTCGTTGACCAATCACAGGGCAGTTCAGAGAGACCCTGGATGGAAGTCAGTGTGCTGTATCAGCGAATGCTGTTTATGTTTGTGTGTCGTGTGACGTTTCATTCATACAAACAGGAAGTAGAAATAGAAAAGGAGGATAATCCCGTTCTAACAGCGTGACTCTGACTCTGTCAGCTGTGTTACCTCTGCAGTGCGGTCCTTCATCCCAGCCGTCCGTACAGTCTGGGACCCCGTTGCACAGTTTGCTCATGTGGATGCAGAGTTCCGTTCCTCCACAGTGGTATTCGTTAGGAGGGCACTTTGACAGGGTACTGTGTGGACCTGGAGTGAACAGAAACAAACAAAGATGAAGTACAACTGTACCTGCTGATAAATATCATACAGTACTTGTTACTGTGGGTGTTTAGTCCAACTGGCAGAACATGAAATGGACATGAGAGAAAAAAAAACGACTCTTGATTTGTATCATTTAATTAAGGCTGATAATTACGACGTGCTTTTACAATAGGATGAAATCCATTTTGATTAGGGTGTAGTTCTGCCCCTCCCTCCACCCACAGCCCTCCACACAGCAGCACAGGTTTCTCATGAACCCCCGTCCACCCCCCTGGTCCTAATCAATAAACTACTGCAGTACACGAATGGTTGTACGTATTGATAAGAACCTATAAATAAAAACAACCTGACTGAGGTTAAATTTTTAATCAAATAACATTAGCTGTGTAAACAACAACTGAATTTAGCCTGAAGACATCAGCGGAAAATAATGTTAGAATAAATAATGAGCAAGGTGTAAATAAAGACAATGTTTTTAAATTTTTTTTTCTTTTTTTTTTTGTCTGCCATTCCACAAACTTTGTCTGAGGCCCTGATTTGTTGAAGGCCTCTTTATTACAGCACTGTGTGGCTGCTGCGTTGGAGAATTGATTCTCACCCCAGGCTGTTTGTGATTTGACTCCACTGTTTGTCACAGTTCCATAAACGATTCCGAATATTCAGAATCAATCTTGGTAAAAATGTCCCGTGTCATTCTGCCCCGTGGCAACAAAGTTTCTAACAGAGACAACGACCTTGTGTGTGTGTGTGTGTGACGTGGACGTGACATTTGTCAGACGGCACTTAGGGAATGTAAATAGTGGTGCAGTTGCAAAATACAAAAGTGGAATTTAAATAGAATTGGACCCGAGGGCTGGAAAAGACATCGTATAAATAAGAGGCTTTGGAAAAATGAGGTTAATTTTCGCTGGCATTAAAATGTCAATTAACATTTTCCAGAGTGGTTTACAGTCTCACTTACAGCTCTCTGCGACGGACTACGATGTCAGCTTGGTAAGTTATAGTTCCCGCTTAGAAATGTGTGAACATTTAATTGCAAAACCACATAATGGAGACTCGACTTATCAACTAAATGGCCTGTATTATACACCAGTATATATATATATATATATATACAGTAGGTCCCCAAGGCAGCACCCATGGACCAAAGGGTTTACAGCCACCTACAGGACAGAGGTGGTGGTGGAGTAATGGATAAACAAACTCTCACACATAATAAATATTTGACATGCTTTTCATAAAGGACTGAAATACCTCAGCAGCCTAACTCTGGTAATGCCCTTAACTAAGTCCTCACAGCGGCCCTTACAAAGACCCCGAACCACCGGTGACTCACACCTTTGTGCAATGGCATCCGTACAATCACATGACACGTTTATCCTGCGGTGATTAATGTGCGTGTTGTAATGCTGCGATAACAGAAAAAAAAAAAACAACTTTGTGCAGATTTACAGGCGCGGAAACACAACACATGATTCATACTTCTGTTTTTGTGGCTGCGGATGTTTCCAAACCGAGATATTTTTTTTTTCTTACCAAAGTTTGTTTGGCTAAGCAAGTTAGAGACAGTTTCATCTCTGTAAGACCTAAGGCCTAACGGATTTGTTAAAGAAAAAGGAAGAAAAACTGCCATTCTGGGGGGGTCAAACTCAAATTCACAGTGGGCCAAACTTAATATTTATTGAAAAAGTTTTCGCTTCTCTCCAGATATGAGATGTACAATTTTTTTTTCATATGGAAACAATTTGTAGTTTTGCGTAAACATTGAATCTGGAACAAACAAAGCTTCATATTATAAACAGATGAGAAATTAAATTTGAAACATCAGTTTTATTTGTTTTTCTCATTGTCTCTTTGTCTTTCTTTTCTTTCTTTTTTAATGTTAATCTGTTTTTCACAGTCCAAAAAAGAAAAAATGTATGTGCTATAACATAGCGCATAAGCCGCTAATACTATAAATCCTGCCAGTATATGGGGGATATATACTGTCGGGCCAACTCTAGTTCACATTTGATATGATGTTGTGGGCCAAATATAGCTACTCTGTGGACCAGATGTGGCCCCCGGGCCTGAGTTTGACACGTGTGCTTTAGGTGATACATGGAGAAAATACTGTATGTTTACTGTTAAACACTCCTTTCTTCAAGTCCTGCGACTGTTTCAATGTTGTGTTCAACTAAACTTCATTAGGCTGCGGCAACAATACTTTCATCCTTATACAGTACTTGTACTTTCTCATTAAAATAGTTTACTGGTCATACTTCAGTACAGGGAATATTAGGGTAATGTAAGACTTTTTACTAACGTAGTACGACTTTGAGAACGACTTTAACTACTCCTCTTTTAGTCCTTTTTTTTCAGTGTGTGTACTCAAACAACTGTGGTTGAAACTGGATCTCACCAAATAACTAACCAGTCAACAAACAGATATTAATCCCACAGTCAAAAACACAACAGCAGTAAATATGCTGTGCAGCTCGGAGGTTTCATTAAATGGAGTGTGTATTATATAATAAGAATATCCAGGCCACGGCACTGGGTTTAAATTCCCGCTGAGACACAGACTTTTGGTTTGTTGTTGAAAAATTCTCTCCTGTTTTTTCAACTCTGACTCTGACTTTTCTGTGAAAAACAATGTTTCCAGAATCTTCCCGACATTAAACACCAACCTCGGTCATCGTTCGTTCTTTCTTTCTTTTTTGCCCATGTGGAAAGTTGAACCGTTATTCGCTCCCTCCTTCCTCTGCCTCCTACCCTTTTATTTCTTAATCTCCAGCCATTATTTTCTCCAACATTTGTTGGCCCACTTTCAATAATTGGGTAAGAGGGAGTTCAATATGTGAATAATAAAAGCTGAGAGCCAGAGAGAAGGAGAGGGGGGAGAGAAGTGGGGGAGGAGGGGGTGGATTTAGAGGGGGAAAAAAGGCAGACAGGACAGACAGGAGACCAAATGGAACACCTCAACCACAGGAAATCGTCAGAGCCCCACAGGACTGTACTTCTGTGCGTGTTGTTGGCCGCAGCAGCTCTGTGGAAAAATCTTCAATCTGAATTCAACTGCTTCTGTTGTTCAACCTTTCTTTACTGTGAAGGCAGACTGGGGTTTTTGGGGAAATTCTATTTGCTCTATTTCTCTGTGGTGCTATTCTATAGCTCTATGACATACAGTAAACCTGGAACAAAAGGTGAAGACCCTCCCCCGCCCCCCTACAGTCTCAGGCTAGAACGTGAGCTAATGATTCTTTGACTTTAGTAAACTAGCGTCTGTTTCTAATGAGTTTAATTTTCCTGCTGCGCACGTCCCAGAAATGTCAACAGTCATCAGGACTAATTTGAATTGTTCCAACGCCACGTCTGACTCAACCAGACCGACTTCCTTCTGTGTTTTTCCGCAATCTTTTGTGTCTTTTTTTTTTAACGTTATCATTTTCTAATCGTTTTTAAGACGTTTTGTGTCAGGATTTTTCCATTTTTCATAGCCACCTCAGCTCTTTTCCATGAGTGACCTTTTGGTAAAAATATTTAACGTTGGTAAACAGACCGTATGGGTGGGAGCTAACGCCAAAGATGAAGGTCTGTTGTAGAAAAACAAAGAAGAAGAAGTGAGCTAGTGAGGTATTAGCTGGATTAGCTTAGCTTAGTTGAGCCTCAGAAAATCCTGGAAGTAATCGCTCCATAAAAATGAATAAAATATCTGAGATGATATGGTCACAATTAGCAATCAACCAAAATAATAATAATTTTTGGTTTTGGAGAAACGTATTAAAGCTATGATTCTTGAGATTTTTACACTGCGTAAAAACCTCTGAAAATCTTTGTTTCTCCAAGTTCCATCAGTCAGAGCGACAGTAAAACCACAGCCTGTTCAGCCAGGATCGATGTTTGGAGGAGAGAGTTGATTTGGTTCTAAGACTCTCAGTCCTGTCCTTCAGCTAAAGCCACGCAGTAAAAGGTTAAAAGTGCTACAAACTGACACTTCATTAATACCATTAATTATCTCACATTCCACAAGATGGAGCCCTAGTACCACTGGTGTTTCACATACCATAGTTTGAGTATCAGAGGATGACGTTGGCAGATAAGGCACACAGTACTGAAGTATTGACTCTTGGACCGGAGCTTCACGATCAGCACCAGTGGACCAGGTTGGGTCCAGTCATATCTGCGACTTTTCTACAGTTCAAGTCACCGTTCAAGTCAAACACAGCCTTTACTCACACGCACGTGACAATCAAAGCTGTGTGCAGGATTCCCGACACTTTGCACGACTTGAATTCTTTAGCCGGGTTCATACAAACGAAGATCACATGCAGTCGGCCACACAGTCGCAGCATTAGAGCAGAGCGGAGGTGGAGGAGCTTTGTTAGATTGTTAGAATAGAATCACACAAATCGGCTGTGGCTCCCAATGGAGGAGCTGAGCCGCGGTGGTGTAAGCAGTGTCACATGGGAACACTGAACTGACCTGTGGCATGACCACATGGACCCAGAGCTGGAGCTGCGTGAGGGTCCCCGGGCCGCTACTTTACTTTGTTGTGTTTTTTTTTTTCTCTCTCTCCATTGGAAGGCATGTTTCTAGTACTTCTTAAATCTGTTTGGAAACTTTTGTTAATCCTGACCTTTTTCATTTTGCATGCAACATTTTTGCAGTGTTATTCATAATGGAAACTGTCTCTTCAATTCTGTTTCCCCTGCTGTGGGAGAGAGAGAGGCCAGGCTGACGGAGGGAGTCCAGAATCTGGTTTCAGATCAGGCCGTACCAATCCAAGAGCTTGTTTGGCTGTGGGGAATTTCCATTCATTAGTTCATACCAGTGAACACAATGTCCACTCGACCAACAACAAACACGTCAACAGGAACAGGTTGTTCCTACAGTGATTCAGGGTGTTTACGTGAGGAGGCCAGAGGTCACTCTGCAGAGACCAGTTTCGTTTCTACTCCACTGAAACTCTGAAATAGAAATGATCCCAGACACAAACTGAGAAT